ACAGGTACACACAAAGACACACACACACACACACACAGAGACACAGACACACAGACATACACAGACACAGACACACATACACACACAGAGACAGACACACACACAGGCACACACACAAAGACACACACACACAGAGACACAGACACACACACACACACACCTCTGTATGCCTTCTCCACCCTGGCCTTCCAAGGTCACCTGGTCACAGACCCTGTTGGGGCCTAGAGCGCTGCAAGGCAGAGCTGCTTTTATCTGGCTTGGAAGTTTAAGTTCATACTACACCTTTGAAAGGTAAGTTTACCCCCAAAGGGAACATTCCCAAGAAGAAAGGGTCACCCAGACAACAGTTGGCATAGCTGTGGAGAAGGGTTAGTGGGTACAGAAAGAAGGAGGTCACCCAGACCTCAGTTAACATGGCTGGAGCTATGGATTAGTGGATAAACGTGCTTCCTGGAGATACAGGAAGACCTGAGTTCAAATTCTCCCAACTCACATAAAAAGTTGCATTTGACCACATACTTGGAATTCCAATGCTAGGGGAGACGGAGACAAGAGACTGCTGAGGCTACACCAACTCTAGGTTCAGTGAGAGACCTGTCTCAAGGGAATGTGGCAGAGAGTGATGGACCGGGACACTTGATGTCCTTCTCTCTGTACATGCGCACAGGTGTACCCGCATACATAAGACACTTACATTTTTTAAGTTTCCATTTCCCTACTTATATCAACATTTTTTTTTATTTACACAGGATCTTATGAAGCCCAGGCTGGCTTCAAACTCATCATGTAGCAAAAGATGACCTTGAAGTTCTGATCCTTATGTCTCCACCGCCCAAGTGCTGGGATGACAGGCATGTGTCACCATTCCCAGTTGACGTGGTACTGAGGATGGAAGACGAAACCTCATGGGTGCTGAGCAAGGGCTCTACTGACTAAGCCACACCCCCAGAATGTCTTTACTTATAAAACCAAGAACAATACAAACCTCAAAACATCAGAAAGATTATAAGACACCTGCTGACCTCCAGGCAAAGTCTGGGTCTAGTCACCAGGACCCTGAGAGGAATCAACCCCCTTCCGTGTCTCCAAATAGCTTATAGTCCTAAAGGAGGTAGGCCATTAATAAGAGGTGTGGAAGGGCAGATGCTGAGTCACAGGGGCAGGGGACAGCCACAGGGCCTGAGAGAGACGCACACCTCCAGCCCGCTGCAATTTGAGCCTCTGCCCAGCAGACAACAGGAACCCTACAGTCTATGAAGCCAGTAAGACCAGGGTACTGTCCACACTCCTCTTCCTTATCCCCCAACTTCTATCCTTGTGGAATTAAAGAACATCACCAAGTCAGAATCCACGTGGATGAGAAGCTGGGAAACAGCTAAGTCTGAGGAGTGACTGTCTTGCATGCGTGAGAATCAGAAGCCATGCAGTGTGTGCCTGTAATCCAAGTGCTGGCAGAAAGGGAACAGGATCCTTTTGACCTCACGGGGCAGCCATCCTCGCCCAATTGGTAATCCCCAAGTAAGAGTAAGAGACTCTGTCTCAAAAACAAACCAAAAACAAGATGAATGGACCTAAGGGACAACACTGGAGGTGACTTCTGACCTTTACACATGGGTGCACGCACAGTTGCACAATGAGAACACACGTAAACACACACCACATACAAAAAGAAGCCACACGGATGAGACTGGACACCCAAGACACTGTCGCCCAACAGAGGCAACATAGGATTGACCAAGTTCAAGGATCAAAGTCAGTCCGCCCGCAGCTGCCGGTTGAGGGAGCCACTGAAAGCAACAAGGTGAAAGTTGAAAAAGAAAAGTTCAGAATTACACACAAAGTCAAGCTCCCAAAGATGAGACTAGAGTTGAGCAAGGAGGCCAGGACTGAAGTTGGAGCTGGGAAGGAAGCGGGAAGGGGACCAAAGCTGAGGTGTTGAGCCCCATGGGGACTGTGCAGGGAAGGTGGCCCCAGCCTACCATGGTCTGGCGTGCTTTTGAGTGCTGCGGCAGATCTGGAGACAAGGCAACTCAGGGTGGCTCTTTAAATAGTGCTCCTCCAAGCCAGGCACCATTCCAGTCCTAGACAACAGGTTGGAAGGTGACCAAGGACAAGATGAGGGGCATTCAAGCCAGGCATCTCCCTAGGGCTGTGGGGAGTGGGTGGCAAAGGCCACCAGTGTGGAGACTGTCTAAGCCAGGGGGATCTCCGACATCACTAAGCCAACTGTTTTCTCTCTCACCAACAGACCATGGACCAGGAAGGGGGCAAGTAGCCAAGAACATGAAGAATATGTCAATGCCAGGGACCAGTTGGATCCAGGAAGGTCAGAAGAGCTTCTGGAAGTATAGGCACCATGCCAGCTGGTACCAGCTCACTCTTGAGCTTCAGGGTTCTGTGTGAGACACCATCCTCTGGGATGCTCAGCCCTCTCATAGGGACAATGGGAGAGGTTATGACGTTGCTACCTGTAGTATGGTCTGGTGTGGTCACCCAGGGTCCTTCAACCTATCTGCAGGCACCCTTTGGAATTCTAGGACCTCATACCCCTCAAATCTACGGATATTCAAGTCTTTTATAAAGAGGATGCGTTATTAGCGTAGAAACTAGGTACTTCTGTGTTATATATTGATTGACTGATTAATGTCTGGTGCTGGGGATCGAACTCACAAGCTTCAGATGCAGGCAAAAATTTTCTTCCTGTCCACACCTTTTATCCTTGCCTAATAGTTCTGAGCACATTTGGTTGAATCTGCACATGCAGAAACTATGGCTGCACTTTGCTGTGTGGTTGGAGGACCATTCCCATTTACCCCTGCCCAAGTCCCTCTTCAGAGCTTGAAAATGTACCAAGTGAAGCTAGGAGGGCTGGTGCATGCCTGTGAATCCAGCACTAGCGAGGTGAAGGCGGGAAGATCAAGAGTTTAAGGTCCTCACGGCTTCAAGAGTTTAAGGTCCTCACGGCTGTATTGAAAATCCAAGGGCAGTCTGGGCTACATGATATCCTGTCCCAAAACAACGAAACGGCAACTAGAAATGTACTTCATCCATACAGCACTTGCGTAGAATCCCCAGTGAGGGGCTGGGGGCGTGGCTCAATGGTAGAAGACTTGTTTAGCACGTACTAGATTTAATCCTTAGCACAATGAGCACGTGCGCGTGTACACACACACACACACACACACACACACACAGGGTGGGGCGGGGGCACAAAATAAAATACACAGAGTAGTGTTGAGAAAGAACACTACTACAGAGAGAACAAAAGAAGCACATAGTTGGCCCTGATGAGGGAGCATTACAAAGACTTATTCACACACGCATACAAATCCATCTCCCGGATGAGGATCTGTCCAAAAATTCTCCCCGAGCCAAGCAG